GGGAGATGGCGAAATGGGAAAATGGCGAAATGGGAAAATGGCGAAATGGGAAAATGGCGAAATGGGAAAATGGCGAAGTGGGAAAATGGCGAAATGGGAAACTGGCGAAATGGGAAATGGCGAAATGGGAAATGGCGAAGTGGGAAAATGGCGAAATGGGAAACTGGCGAAATGGGAAATGGCGAAATGGGAAATGGCGAAGTGGGAAAATGGCGAAACGGGAAGACACTATTATTATATATATTACTATTTCTACATTTGTTACACTTTACACATCGCCTCGAGCTATTACAACCCGGATAGTGAATTCCAGCGATGCGTGCGACCATTCTTATCACAGACTAACAATATATATACAAGATATATTGTTATTCTATGTTCTTATGTAATGATTCATTCTACATGACCGACTGCAGCGTAGGGTCGGTGTCTACTTGTCTACAGCAACAGGTAACAAGAAAGCAAGACAATTAACCGTATTACGCTTACGCATTATACTAGCGTCTCTCCACTAATTATGGCCAGAAACTGTTGTCGATGAGTGTATAGTGAGACCCCGGTAAAGGGGAGTTTAACATCTGTCTCCGGCTTGCGTTGCCCGTGGCAAAACTCGTATAGTCCCTGAGCGGGGGAATTCAGAAGACATCAGTGTGTTCACTGGCTGTGTGGGCGACTGCCCGTGCTAAGTGGTTGCCAAAGTGATATGCCACTTTACTGTTCACACTGGCCACGGCGGTGTTAGGTTTACACAGCCGTGTTTACAGTGAACTAAAATCATGTGACAGCAAAATCACTGATCACCGCATAGCCAGTGGTTTTCAAAACAGAGGTGACGAGCGGATCTTTGGTGGGTCGCAAGATGCCTGTACCAAACAAAGACGCTCTTAGCTTCGGTAGAGAGTAAGGGTACTTGCTTATTCTGCTAGCTACGCATGAAAGACAAGGCTTCTCACGCCATGATTCTGCAACAGCGGTGTGGGCTGTGACTTACACGCGCTTTAGCTTCCCCGTGACACTCCTGTCAGATCTGCACACACGGACGTATAAAGGCATTAATTAAACTGGATTTGACAACTTTTTATTGTTTAATTTGTACAAGATTTCGAATCCAGTATTTATTCCCTAAGGTGCATTAAATTAAATTACATCAGAGAGTTAGTTCGAAATCCTTTCTGGAGAAGCATGCCCCGGTTTATTCACATGCGAAAGTATAAAAGTAATAGTTATGATGTGACAGAGCTTTCTTAGTTCATTTGTACAAAAACCCGTATGAAATTGTATGTTTTGTAGCAGTTTATTGGCTCACAGAATGCAAGAAAATGCGTTATTTCATACTATTTCTTTAAATAAATATTAATGACATCCTAACCCCCAAAACGGGTTATGTCATATAGCGGGGTTGCAATGCCGTAAAACCATAACAAGGAGAGAAGCTAATGCATAGGACAAAACTGGTGAGCGAAAACATGAAGAAAAACTATATCATTAGCCAATGAATGAAATGCTAATTCCACGCTGACTCATCAATTTGTGTCATTTGCAGGCGTGGCTAGGGGAATGATAAATACCCCATCGAAAGTGATTAACGGAGTGTACTTTGACAAGAAACGCTCGCTGGCAACTGGACTGGCGATCACGTCTGGTGCCGTTGGCGCGCTCATTGGCCCTCTACTGTGTGTCAAACTCATCGAGCTCTATACGTGGCATGGCACACTCATCATTCTAGCTGGCATGTACCTACAAACAGTGGCAGCCAGCGCCCTCTTCCGGGACATACCCAAAGCAGCGAAAGAAGAGCTAAGCCAACGTCGCAGCAGCAACAATACGTCGCTAATGATGCCAATCCCAGACATGATAAAATTCGGAGCCCACTGCTTGAGTAGTCTCGCCATGGGCTTCAGTACGCTAATGTTCGTGACATTCTGCGTGCTGTACGGCATGTCGCAGGGCTTGAGTCTCGCGCGGGCTGCACAGATGATGAGCGTGATCAACGTGAGCAGTGCACTCAGTGCCTTTCTGGTGGCAGCGACGGGCGACAGACCGTGGTTTCCACGGCCGCTGGTCTACGGCCTTGCGACGCTAACGATTTCGATCATCGCTTTCTTGTTTCTGCTGGCGGGTGAACTGTCTGTGTTTGTTGTTTGCTGCGTGTTCTACGGATGCAGCGGTGGCATACGAGCGAGCATGGAGACAGCCATGCTCGTGGACCTGTTCGGAATAGAGCATCTACCGACGGTCCAGCCTATCTACTCGCTCTTCTTTGGCCTCGGAGCTTTTACTGGACCTCTGGCCGCGGGTAAGCATAGCGAGGTGGTGCTGCGAGATGAGCATATAAACAAACAAGAGCGCGGTGTCCCCGTTGGCGCTCAATTGGAAGCTAGTGTAGTGACCCTAGGGGTCACCACACTGGACTTTCACACGTGCTGTGGTTAGCACGTGTAATTTATTTGTGTCGGGATCATTTTTCGCTCCTATACCATGAAGGTAGGACGGTGATGCAGTAGCAAGAAAAACCCCAGAGTGAAATGAACGCAAGTCAAACTTAGATAGTCTTTATACAACGGATGGTTTTATTCATCGTATACGAATAACATTCACTGCACGTATCTCAAATATAGCGTATAGATATATAGATATATATTACTCATGTCACGTACGTTTACGTTACCTCGTTAGGTTATTACACGTTTAACTTAACTCTTATCTATTCTACGGGTTAATATTGTAGCCTCCGGCGCCGCTCCTCGTCTGTCTCTCCCCGTCGTGTGCGCCGCGGCTCGGCGCGAGTTCGTGGGTTGGCAGCGCGTCTCCCTGTCTGGGGTAAGCTATAGCTCCGGGCCTCTCCCTTAGTATAAGATATATCTTCTCGGGCGTCGTCCTGCTCGTGGGTGGCTCTCCCTCCGACGGTGTGTGTGCGCTCTCTCGAGCGCGATCGTTCGCTCCCTCGAGCGTGTTTGTTCGTTCGTTCGTTCGTTCGTTCGTTCGTTCGTTCGTTCGTTCGTTCGTTCGTTCGTTCGTTCGTTCGTTCGTTCATTCGTTCGTTCGTTCGTTCGTTCGTTCGTGACACGAGTTGTTAAAAGTGTTGCATTCCACGATTATAGAAACCTCGCACAAGGTTCCTCGGGGTGCCTTAAGGTTTACTCAGGCATTTAGAGTCATTGACAGAATAATTCACGTAGACATTTTTTCCTAGTATTATATATGCCACTGCAAAGGCAATATATAGGCAGTAACCGAGTATAATGACATTTCCAAAATGAAGAAACTGAGATTCTCATTTTCTTTAATATATGATATATATACAATATATGATATTATATATATAAATAAATAAATATATATATATATATTAGGCCTGAATAAAATTTATTGTTTATTAAATGTGAGAACGGCAGCCTAGCTATTACTCATTATGCCAAGGGGTGCAAAGTCACATGCGGATTGTGTTCTTGACAGTTGTCCATGGGAGGTTCACTGACAGTATAATGTAATCAGGAGTAAGATAATATAGGAATAATATAATCCTATATTATCTTACTCCTGATGTAATAGTATCTGTTATCTACATTGCTCTGGCGGAACTGCCCCCCCTCTCTCCGTTTGTTATCACCCCGCTAGCTAGAGCCCCGGGAGAGAAACATAAACAATGACAATGACAAAACAATAGTAGACTATCTACTCTTTTGTGAAGCGTCTGTCGAGAAAGGTCTCGGCGGGTATACTCCAATAAGTAAAGATGAAACTACCCCCCCCCCTGAGAACCTATCCGAGAACCAGTATATTTCGGGTCATGGTCGCATCATCATTGCTAAAACTGAGAGCGCGAACTATAAAACTCCATACCCACCATCCAGGGCCATTAAAACAGTGTCATAAGAGCGCATAGCTCTGCGGCTCTCAAAGTCACTATATGCCAGATTAAATCTCATCGTGATAGTGGGCGATGCCAATACAGCCCCGGCCTTCAAGTTTATGCTTCATCTATCCCACCAGGTTCCTCGACACTAGGCGATGTTTTGTTCTACAAAAAGGAAGCGTAAGAGAAAGGAATCCACGTGCGCAGCTCTATCACAGCCAAGCAATTATAGGAGATTCTGAATTCGATATCTCTTCCAATGCCTCTAGCGATGTTACCACATACGCGCCATAACAACGCCTTTCTATACAGGTGGTGTGTTGGACTACACTGGCAACCTGAAGTTAGTTGTCATCCTTTGTGGAAGCACGGCTGGTCTGAGCGCAGCGTTGCTGAGTGGCGCCCTCTATATCGACTACAGACAGAAGCATACGAAGCAGGAAGAACCGCCTCCGAGGCGATCGAGTAAAGTCGAAATCATTTTCGACGATGCGACCAGGTCGCAGCACATATAGATCCTTGTAGATGTATATATGGTTTGGATGTATGTGTAAGGTGCTTTAACGCGCCACAATAAATGACTCAGACGTTGCTGGCGATGGAATATAGGCCTATGTATCGATGGAAGATCTTGCATGTTATCTTCGTAAATAAGCACGTCTCGCGGTGCTTTGTTTTGCGTAAATATATTACTAATGTACCCTGTTATATCAATTAATCGCTACATAGCGTGATGAAGTATCTGATACGTAGATTCACCACATCGCCTATGTGTGCTGCAATGTTACAGAGAGTACATAGTATGATGGGAGTATGATAAGCTAGACCTGCTCGTGCATTATGTGTCACTACAAGTTGCTTCTAGTGCAGGACGTTGCTAAATACCTGCTAAAGTCGGTTTACCCAACTTCGAGTCGATGACACAAATTTGATAGATGCATAAATCCGGTGCTCATCGTTTATTCTGCAAATAGATATATAGAAATATTTTTACTTATATACTTGGATGTTGACATATTATATGTGGAGTAAAATTATAAAAAAGCGTAGGCCTACATCCATCTTACGCTCACGTACCAAAAGCCATACGTAATCTTGATCTTATTAGTTCTATATGCACGGTAACGTCTATACTATTATCATTTGCTATATGTACTAGACTAGAAGTAACTACACACATTGTATGACATGTTACATAACATCACATGTTGCCAATCGTTTTTACATAAACACGTAGCATTACGTTAAGCACTAATAGTAATATAACTATATAACTATATACTATATAACTATACACACAATATATGTGTAGTTACAATGAATATGCTAGTGCACAAGCGAGTACTTTCTCAATAAATAATGGCTAGAAATAGAATATACAGAACATCAAAGAAAACGTATAGGTTTTACGTATAATAATTTAACGGCTTTTACACGGCTGAATAAAGATGTATATACATTTACGTATCATTCAGTAAATTGATTCCCCATTTACAAAATGCTACTACAGCGACAAAACCATTAAGAGAACCATGCACATCATTGATACTTTCGAATGTATGAATATTCAAATGTGTTCGTCCACTCGTGATTTGATGCAGTATGAAAGCACGCACACACGCGTGCGTGCATACATATACGCATGTACGCGAGCACACGAACATACAAGGTGTAACAGTGTTACATACATTATAAACGGTAATGAGTGTACACTGTGTGGCTCTGATGTCGGTCAGTAATGGTTTTTATGTGAATAATACGATATTTTTGTGAAGCGAGTTACAACGATATGATCTAATGGTAGCCTATATCTTGCGACCCTCTGTCACTCGGTAGACTATCCTATCGCTTTAATAGATGCGAACGATTCTTCTACGGCGACCGATGAGTCTCTGCTACACAGTTCAATACCTGCGTCGAATGCGTAATACAAACTGAAAAATATACCTGCATGTTACGATTCAATGAATAGGTTTTTTATGGCGACGCCTATTCCCATCTCCAACGGCGACGTGTACAGCGGGAGTAGGATTAAGAAGAGACATATAAGCAGGTAGATGATCGGTAGGGCAAGATGAACCTGCGGGAGTAGGCGCAGCAGTTATTAAAAGTAATTTATAACAAGTTATTTATACTGCGACACAAGCGAACCTGACATTTAACGTTGACATTGTGAATATTGTTGACGCGTATATGGAAAATATACAATATAATAACAGTAACATTGATTTTTGCGACAATTAATGGACGCAGCAGTCATTGCAGTAATTATTTTATTGGCATACAATTTACATCGTATAAAATCTGATCATCCGATAACTAAATCCGGTGTGAACCGACCTAATAATATCTGCTCGGTTCTGTGCTAGCCTAAAGGCTCTCTACCTTTATGGGTCTGTGGAGATAAGGTTGTTTCCAGCGTAAGAACAGCAGCGCGCTCAAGGACATGGCAATAAAGCTGGATTCTATCAGGAGTAGATAATAGGGATTCTATAATTCTATTAATTCTATTCTAATATTAATTCTATTAATTCTAATATTAATTCTAATATTAGAATTAAGAATATTAGAATATTAGAATTAGAATTAAGAATATTAGAATTAATTCTAACAAAGAATATTAGAATATTAGAATTAGAATTAAGAATATTAGAATTAATTCTAACATTAATTCTATTAATTCTATTCTATTAATTCTATTAATATTATTTCTATATTCTATTAATTCCCTATTATCTAATCCTGATTCTATGAAGCTAGTGTAGTTGATAAGAGTGTACACGTCGCTCGTGGTGCACATGAGAGCCGACAGCGTCCCCTATATGCGAACACATCTGCTATTAATTACGAGCTACTAAATACTAAACACACGATATTACTGGAATCAAGAGCACGACAATGAGACAATAATATTCATAATCAGATAATTACTAGCATTTTTCAAAATTACAAAATCAAAATCTACATTTGTGTGTGTAATTTGCACGATCCATTTCTGTTTGAATGCATTTCAAACGCGTTTTGTTTCTTATATGGAGGTTTCGATGATACGACCCTGTATACTAACATTATATGCAAGAGATACACTCACAATGAAGATTAGCGACGGCAGCGGAGTCACGTTGTGGATGTTGATCATGGCCAGGCAGTCTGGCAGATGTCCTTGTCGGGCGCCGACGAAAAACAACCTTCAACGCACACGTTAAACTAACCCACTGCGTTGAATTACTCGCAAAGAATTGCCTCAGGCGAATTGATAGCAGAAATAATTAATGGCATGATATGAAGAAAAAAATTGACTTGATTATAGAAAGAGATATATATATATATATATATAAATATATATATAGCGTTTGCCGTTTAGCATGATCTATATATACATTGCACGTATTCCACTGGGGGGAAATTTACTCCCAGGTAACGTGATGAGATATAGTTACTACTCAGACGCTCCGCACAGGTAGCGATTCATATTCGCTTACCTGGACGAAGCGAAGATGCCACCATTGACGCCACCGAAGGTAGAGCAAGCGACAAAAAACGGCATTGTCCAATGCATGCTGCCGAGCACTCGCTTGCCAAAACTCTGTAGATTCGGAAATGGCAGACATTTGACGACATAACTGGCGAGCGAGTATTGACATACCAGTGATTTATTTATTGACTATAAAATCATTTAACCGTTTGTATATTTCATTGCTTCTTTCTACAAATATTTAACATCCATCACACACATGAGATTTTTGATGATCCAGATCCGTAGCAATGCCTAGGATGCGCAAAATTACTCGACTCTGAGTAAAAAATTCTAATAATGACGAAGGAGGGGGTACGGAGCTCCCAGTCAGCATGTATCGTGAGGTGGGGATAGGCGTGAAACGAATGTTGCACGGATGACTACATGGTGATTTACACTGTTTGTAGAATTACATACATTAATCTGGTTTTATTTTAAATCTTCTCCGAAAGCCTGGGCAGAAGCTGCTTCCCCTCCCTTGTATCGCCTTGACTTGCTAACATCTCCCTTGCATCCCACCCCTCAGAAGACTACGGCCCTGTGTGCAGTATGTTCGCCGCGTTATCGTACCACAGCCACAGCCTCCGTCTCTAGAATCTCGTCAACCGACAGGACGGTGAAGTAGGCGACGTTGGAGAGCACGTACGCCGTCGTAACGAGTGGCACGGAGATGTAGATCGCTCGCGGCAGGTTCCTGCAACAACGCGACGCCATTTTAAGCGAGCGGAAAAGCGGAATTGCGACTTGAATCAAGCGCGAAGCACGGTCGTGACGGCTATTGTAGCTTTGTGTTCGTGCTAGGAAGCTTAAAGTTAATCAAAGCATCAGTTCTAAGCCCGCATCGTAAGCGTTTTGGGGTTTCATGTCTGACACGGACGCAGTGCCCGCCTGACATGCTTCAATTTTAAGTCAGCATAACATTTCGCTGTTTTCCAGCTTGCGGTAGCAAACAGACGACAGCGTTTACTGTCACGCCGTATCGGGCTTTTATTTGCGGCACTTCGTTGACAAGCATTGCCATTTAAAACGTCATGTCGCAACAGTGAATGTCTTAGAGCTGCACTCCTGTCATTCACATAGATTATTGTTAAGCCATTTTCCGAGTGGGTCGTTGTCTGAATAAATTGATAATTAAAATGTATGTAAATAATAATATTTATATGTAAATGTATTAGTAAATATATATGAATAAATAGGTAGGCGCATGAAGCTTACTTGGCTGGATTTTCGAGTTCTTCAGTGACAAAATTCAAGTAATTCCTAAAAAATGCAAAGTATATTAGAATATATATATATTAACATAAATATATTTTAAGCGTGACCTAACAAACTTATCCCAACACGAAAATAAACAGCAACATCCCAAGCAGAACAGGAAGCAAACACGATCGCACGCTTGAAGTTTCGCGCAAACTCATTATTATTGTAATTTTATTACCTATGTCTGTCATCGTTATGTAATCGACATCGGGGTGTACCGATAGTAAAATGATTCAAGAATTTCTCGTAGTGTATATGTAAAGCGATCCGCCCACGTGTAATAGTGACGAGGGGTGCTATTGTGCTAGACGTGGGCATTTGAAGGAACACATCTACATAACGTATAGGCACAGGCACACCCCGCTGACTTTCACATTACGGTATATTCATGGTACATTCATAGTATCACGAGCGAAAAAAAACATATATATGTGTGTTCGTGGTATGCTCGTGGCATGTACTTACCACCCTGAGTAGGAGAACAGGCCGGCGTAGAAAGAGAGGGCTATGTGTCCTGCGTGTGCCTGCGTACCCTTAAACGGCGACTCGAGATTATGCGTGTTTCCTGAAAAGGAACAAGTTGCGGTCCTCGCTCCATTCTCGTATGGCCGGCGGCACGGGATTGTAGGTAATATTGCTATTTTTAGTCCAAGTCGCGGAACCCCTCTAACCCCCGGTAATGATGATGATGCACAATGCAAGCAGCTTGGCAGCAGTGAAAATGTCCTGCACTCTGACGGCCCATTTCACTTTACTACAGTTGATAAACGTGAGAAAGGCTGCGTCAATTGAAAAATTAAAATTAAAATTAAAATTAAATTTTTTGGCTGTTACTGCAATCTATCCAACTGATCTTGCTCTATCAGGACTATTCTTTTTGACTCTTAGATGAAACTTGTGACTCATAACTACTATTGGAAACGTTACTACCAATAAATCGTTATTTTACTCCACATGTGTGACGATAAAAGATAATATTATGGGATCAGTATTATCGGACCACGACGGCATATACATAGCTATCTACAGCATTGTGCATATACGTGTAACATGCTTTTATCTACTGATAGCGCCAAGAGCAGCATAAATTAAGCTCTAAATATATACGTGGTCTTATAAGTGGGAATATGTGTCTTGATGGTATAACAGCAAGAGTATTATTGACTCTTGTTTATTACAATTTAATAATCCAATTAATAATCAAACCCGACACACACATAACATAGCTATACAATTATTAACAATAGTGTATAATATTGTATCACATTTCATACGTACATCTACGGCGCCGCACGCATGCGCTCGCAACACTCACCGATGCAGACAATGGCGACGAGACTGACTGCCGACTCCGGTATCTCACAGCCGTCGGCAAACACCGGTTGCAGTATGTACTTGGCGAAGGTTAGCGCCGTGATCGCATTGCCCGTCGGCATGACGACGAGCAGAGCCACCCAGAGGTAGAGGAACGCCGGCACGGGCCCGTAGGCCTCGGCGATGTATGCGTAGTCGCTGCCCAACTTCGGGATAGCCGTGCCTAGCTCGGCGTAGCAGAGCGCCCCGACGAGACACAGCGTTCCGCAGACGGTCCAGATGATGAGCGAGAGACCGACGGAGCCGGCCTCCCGGAGCACGCCCGTCGGCGATACGAAGATGCCCGAGCCGACGATGATGCCGACGATGATGGCGACGCCGTTGTGAAGCCGTATCTCTTGCATCAGTTGCAGGCCGTTGCTGCTGGATGGCCGCGCTACCCCGTCATGGCGTCTCCCCCCGTCGTAGATTCTCCCTCCGTCACGGAGTCTCCCTCCGTCACGGAGTCTTCCTCCGTCACGGAGTCTCCCTCCGTCACGGAGTCTCCCCCCGTCGTGGAGTCTTCCTCCGTCACGGAGTCTCCCTCCGTCACGGCGTCTTCCCCCGTCGTGGAGTCTCCCCCCGTCACGGGCTCTCCCCCGTCACGGCACCTCCTTTTGTCACGGCATCTCCACCTATCACCGTACCACCTTCCCCCGCCGCGCGCCTGTTCCTAGCGACTGCCATCCTTCTCTGCCGCTCATGGATTCTCCGTGTGAAACCACCGCCGCTCTCTGCCACACAGGTTTGTCTAAAACCCACTCCGCTGCCAGCGGAAAGTTCGTGCCTCTGCCGAGAGCAACGCTATCGATGTTTTAGAGTTACTATACTTTGTAGGCGGTTAACAGTACGTCCTCTGGCTTTATGCTATACGCTAGCTCGGTAAAAACGCGCTGGATTTTTTCCCAGTAGATGAATCGCCACGATTTGTAAGTATAGTACCTACGTGGCGGTTGCGAGAATGGGAGCCTTTCTTTCGCCGGTTGTTAGAACGAAGTGCTAAGAATCGAGTTACTGAAGGAGTGCTGCGCTCACCTGGTTTCGAAATTTTCCCACGTAAGTCGGAAAGTGAGGGCAGGGAACTTGTTCAGCGAAGTGATTTACTTCCGCCGAGTGGGTCGGCTATGGTAATGCTCGTTTGTTGCACCAGGTAATTTATAACCCGGTACGTAGGTATGTCCCGGTACTCGAATTATTGCGAGTAAATGCAGCCGTGAAATCTTGCAGGGGGGAAAACACTTTTTTGCACGTATAGCTGCTATAGTTAGAAGACTTAAAAATGTCTAATTTTATCTCGTAATTTCGACGAGATCTTTGCCTCTATTACTATTAATTATGATTTGATTATTGTAATAAAGATATTTATGTTATCACACAATTAACAAAAACAAAATCAAACATTATTGTAATCAAACCCTGTTGTATTTCAACGTCAAGCTAAAGCTACGCGAGAGTTCTTCTGTAATTTGGAGAAATGTGTAAGGAACGCGATCCACGTCTTTTTAAATATTACTGCTATAATATCGCCATGGATGCTTTGCATAACAATCACGAATAAAACTGAGTGACCGAATTTAGTTATTGGTCAGATATAGGTTTAGGTATTAGACAAAATTTTGGTTGAATAATCTAATGTGCCAAATAGCTATCTGCGTGTCTCCTCAGCACGTTGATTATTCTGCCTTAAGTGCAAAACCAATTGCAGCGACAGCGACCGACCGTAACGTTGTCTGATATTTTAGAAAATTATAAACTATTCTTTGCAATGAGATGTTGCACACGCACGCGATAACGTTCGGCGACAACCGTTATGACAAAAATATTTAGAATCGTTCCGAATTTCTAGCGACATAATCGCGCAAACATCATAAATAGCCAATCACAGCAGTAGATAATCTTTTCATCGGCAGTCGAGCGGGATTAGTTGAGACAACGCCGTGACGTTGATCGCTGACAAATATGATGACCGATACTGTGCATGTTTTGTGATGAGTGCATTTAGAAAGGAGGGCCGTGGGTTTAGTAGGAAAAGTGTGCGTTTAGGAGGAGGGGGTGTGCGTTCAGGAAGAAGGGGTGTGCGTTCAGGAGGAAGGAGTATGCGTTCAACGAGAGTGGCGTACGCTCAGGAGGAAGGGGTGTGCGTTCAGAAGGAAGGAGTGTGCGTTCAGGAGGAAGGGGTGTGCGTTCAGGAGGAAGGAGTGTGCGTTCAGGAGGAAGGGGTGTGCGTTCAGGAGGAATGGGTATGCGTTCAGGAGGAAGGAGTATGCGTTCAGGAGGAAAAGGTGTGCGTTCAGGAGGAAAGGGTATGCGTTCAGGAGGAAGGGGTGTGCGTTCAGGAGGAAGGGGTGTGCGTTCAGGAGAAAGGAGTATGCGTTCAACGAGAGTGGCGTACGCTCAGGAGCGAGCTAGGTGTATCCTTTCAGGAAGGTGGCGTGCGTTCAGTAGAGAGGTGCGTGCGTTTAGTAGAGAGGCGCGTGCGATTTGGAGGGAGGGGCGATATGGTGATGGGTCGATATGGATATCAAGTATCATAGTCCATATACAAGACAGTCAGTGCCGATACAAGTTTGTAGCTCGCTGGTAGCTCGTTGGTTTCACCTTGGCGGAGGTAGAGCCGTAGCCCTGGCACACACACACACACACACACACACACACACACACACACACACACACGCGCGCGCACTCTCTCTCTCTCTCTCTCTCTCTCTCTTTCATCAAGGTATCGATCTTTCCTATGTACGCGCGCGCACGCTCGCTCGCTCTCTATCTCTCTCTCTATATACAGCGTCGCACTCGGCATGCTCAGTCGCTCACTCGCACATCATCCGCGATCCTTGGATAGAGCAGTGAAGCTCTTGGAATGTCTCTGCTGGTTGCAGCTATATATACGTAGTGTCCTCTCTTAGTCTCTGGTGCGTCTCTTAACCCCGCGAGTGACGGAACAGCGTCGACGGAAGCAACAACCGCCTGTGTTTGTGATAGTGAGGGAGGAAGGAGGACGGCCCTTTAGGCTACGGACAGCCGTACGTGTGTTAGGCGGTAGGCGCGTTGCAAACCGCCTGTGTTTGTGATAGTGAGGGAGGAAGGAGGACGGCCCTTCAGGCTACGGACAGCCGTACGTGTGTTAGGCGGTAGGCGCGTTGCAAACCGCCTGGGTTTGTGATAGTGAGGGAGGAAGGAGGACGGCCCTTCAGGCTACGGACAGCCGTACGTGTGTTAGGCGGTAGGCGCGTTGCAAACCGCCTGGGTTTGTGATAGTGAGGGAGGAAGGAGGACGGCCCTTCAGGCTAC